CCCCCCTGGGGCTCCCAAATGATGCCCCTGCAGCGTTTTGCGACCATGAGGCTCTCAAGAGAGACATGTTGGGGAGGCCAAACGGCAATTTTAGCTGAGACGTCCCACCAAAATCGGCGCGAACGGGCTCGTGAGATCAGCCAGGGTGGCTCCCCCTCGGGGCTCCCAAATGATGCCCCTGGCAGCGTTTTGTGACCATGAGGCTCTCAAGAGATACATGTTGGGGAGGCCAAACGGCAATTCTAGCTGAGGCGTCCCACCAAAATCTGCGCGAACGGGCTCGTGAGATCAGCCAGGGTGGCTCCCCCTTGGGGCTCCCAAATGATGCCCCTGGCAGCGTTTTGCGACCATGAGGCTCTCAAGAGATACATGTTGGGGCGCCAAACGGCAATTCTAGCTGAGACGTCCCACCAAAATCGGCGCGAACGGGCTCGTGAGAACAGCCAGGGTGGCTCCCCCTTGGGGCTCCCAAATGATCCCCCTGGCAGCGTTTTGCGACCATGAGGCTCTCAAGAGATACATGTTGGGGGCGCCAAGCGGCAATTCTAGCTGAGACGTCCCACCAAAATCGGCGCGAACGGGCTCGTGAGATCAGCCAGGGTGGCCCCCCCTTGGGGCTCCCAAATGATGCCCCTGGCAGCGTTTTGTGACCATGAGGCTCTCAAGAGATACATGTTGGGGGCGCCAAACGGCAATTCTAGCTGAGACGTCCCACCAAAATCGGCGCGAACGGGCTCGTGAGATCAGACAGGGTGGCTCCCCCTTGGGGCTCCCAAGTGATGCCCCTGGCAGCGTTTTGTGATCATGAGAGAGTGTGAGTGTGAGCTTAACTTATCTTATCTTATCTTGAAATCTCTTCTTACCATATCTTGTGCTATCTTATCTTATCTTGTAGTATCTTATCTTGTTTTGTCTTATCTGGTGATTATCATTGGGAGGAGGGAGGCGCGAGCGGGAGGAAGGAGGAGCAGTGGGAGGCGTCAGAGTAATAATTATTCACTGCGTGGGGATCCCCATATGTGCATCTCCTTGCTGGCGCTCCCTTGGTGGTGGGACTCGGTGAGGACGAATCTGGATTTAAGTGTGACTGAGCTGCCTCTCTCTCTGCTCTCTCTGCTCTCTCTGTCTCTCTCTCTCTCTGCCCTCTCTCTGTCTCTGCCTCTCTTTCCCTTCCTCTCTCTCTCTGCCTCTCTCTCTGCCTCTGTCTCTCTGCCTCTCTCTCTCTCTGCCTCTCTCTCTGTGCCTCTCTCTCTCTGCCTCTATCTCTGCCTCTCTCTCTCTCTCTCCTCTCTCTCTTTTCTCTATTCTC